GTCTGCAGTTGTTCTAAGGCAACTGAAAATGTTGGTTTAAGGTTTTTTTGATCCTTGGATATCATGAACTTATACTCTGCCAGAAGTTGCTTAGTTTGTTTGCTTACACTGAAAATGCTTTGCCATCTTCCTGTTAGATCAGTATGAGTACCCATCATTTTTAAATTTTTTATAACATGGAAATTGACTCTCACTAGAAACCCTTAGTATAGAAAAGAATCATCTGTGACAGTCTAAAAGGAAATAATTGTGTTGATGTGCATCATATTGGTGTTGGAAGGTCGTCTGGCTAGCAGTTCTGGCCATAGCACTCTGCATCCTACATGAACAACTGCTGACTAGAGAGTAAAGGTTGTTCAGTCATGCCAAAAAGTCATCTGGGAAGAGGAAAGATTTGATAAGACTGTTCCTAATACAGGAAAGAATTGAGCTCCATATCAAAGTCAAAAAAGCTTTTGAAAGACAGAATTCAGTTAACCTAATTTTGCAGTTTTATTTAGCGGTGAAGCTGAGAGTATTATAATGACATGCACACTTAGAGAAGAAAAGGTGTTTGATATGAAAATGAAAAATATATAAAGCATAACTGAAGGAAATTTTCAAGGCATGAAGCAGGACTGGGCTTTTATTTATTCCAATGCAGACTTTGGAAGAGAACTCAGAGAAATAATGAGTTTGGCTTGCTTCTCCAGCATAAGTATTCTGCAATTTTTGCTGCAAGCAAAGCACTCATCAACAGAGTCTAGTTTCCTCTACAAGAATATACCTTCAGTGCATTGTAAACAATTATTTCAAGTATCTTGACATGCAAAGCTTGGTTTTTAGTCAAGCTTGTAAGGACTCACCAGGAAGATGCTGTAACTTCTAAATTATTTCAAAGCAAAAAAGAGAAAAGGTTTGATGATCCTTGAAAAAAAAAAAATGTTTGCATGTGAAATCTTGTATTGAAAAGCTTTGAGGAGGGTTCAGAAAGCTTCCAGCAAATTGTGAAGGAGTTCATAATCTGTATCCAAACCATTTCACTCTGGAATACTTGATGGCATTTTTAGTAGGGAAGCTGTCAGTCTAGTAAATAAGCTTCACTCAGGCAAATAATAGCATTATTCATTTTCTAATGAAAGATTATTTTTAATAACAAAGCATCTTGTTTTCCAAGTAATCCTTTAAGACTCCCACATCATCAGCAAACAGCTAAACCTTCAAAAGTTAGTTTTTTCACATAAGAAATCAGTCTTAGTCCTAAAATGTTATAGTTTAAAACTGCCTAAATAAGATGCAATAAGCATCTCTGGTGTTCTGGCCATAAGGACAGAACTCAAATTAAAGGACCCAGCCAGGGCCTGGCAGGATATCTTCTCACCCTGTTCTACTCTCCTCCTTTTCACTTTCCTAGAGATGGGAAATGCTGCAAACATCTGAAAACATGACACAGAAAGTGCTTTCTTGATGATTGTCCCCTAAAAATCTCAGACTTTCCCTTGTTCTGTAGAAATGTGTACAACGTGTTGAGAAATTATGTATCATTTGCTAATCTTAAGCAGGAATCAAAGCCTGAAACAAGAGGCACTAAGCACAAGCATTTATTCTCCTCACATAGTAAGTATTCAAGCTGTCTGGTTTCCCTGGTGTCCCATGTGGATTTACTGGTTCAGGTAGTCAAGAAATCAGGTGAATATATGTACTATCATTTATTGGACATATCCTTCTCTTATTCAATGGAAAGAAATTTAAGTTTGCAGAACTGTAATTTCTTTCAGTCCAAAGAGGCAAATTACAGGTATTAAATGGCATTTATTATTTAGCAAAAGAGTTATGTATATTAATCTTTTTAATCCATTCACCTCCTCATCACTTCCTCCAGTGGTCAGTTGCTCTATAAAACTTATACCCTCACTGGAGAGCTGTTAACCAGAGCCTATTTGAATTATCTCATTTCAACAAGGAGTCCAGCTATTTTTCATGATTGAAGTTAAACTGTAAATAGTGACCTGCCAGGTTTGGCTTCTGCTGTTCTCCATCATTTTTGAGAACTTTGTATTACTTGGTAGTTCCATGCAGCATAAGTGACATGAGAAAGGATGTTTCAAGGTTTCAAAATTAGTGTCTGAAGTTCTAACTTTTCTTGACAGAGAATTTTTGCTTTGTTCCTTATCCCCAGAGCCCTGGATGGTTTCAATATGTCTTGCAGACATTTGATGAAAGCCAAATCCCTAAGGATAATTTCAGCACGTGATCATCCTTTTGTGAATCTTAAGAGATGCAGAAAATATGGAAAATCATGCTTAGAACAACCAGTGGAAGGAAATTCAGTGCTTATATAAAGTGACAGCTTGGGTTGCAGGGTGCCTGCCCCATCCAGCAGAACATTTTGAGTGGAAAGAGAGAAGGGAAGGGCATGAAAAGGAACATGTTTTGCCAGTTTGAAAGGATGGGAGTCCCAGCAGAGAGAGGCTGTGGATGGCTGAAGAAAGCTAAAGCAGTTGATAAACATAACATGTCAACTCAGGGCCTCAATCTTTCCCAGAATCCACAAGAGTCACAGGAATATGAGTACTGAAAAGGCTTTTTTTTTTATCCCTCCTTTGACATGGTCAGTTTTTAGATAGAATTTCTTGGTTATGTATATGAAAGTGATCCTGTATGAGGGAGTGCTTTGATGAGACATGGAATAAGACATTGCCTGGATAAAATTTGCTGAAAATGAAGTCTCTAAATTAGTTAACAGTTTGCAGTATTTGACCTCCTGTTTTTTCGTTGTTATCCTGATTTTTCAAATGGGATATATTTGATTTTTTTTTTTTGTCTCAATGACATTAACTTTTAATATTTTTTTTTTATCTTTTTCTTTTATTTTTCAGGTCCAGCGAAATTCCTCAGCAGAGAAAGAGAATTTTCATGTGGCCTTGAAAAAGGAAGAGAATCAGAGCACCCAGGAGTGTGATTCTCAAGATGTAAGACCAGCTCACCTGGAAATTAGGGTCTAACCTAGGTTGTATGAAAAGATTAATGCCTTAGGCAACTGTTGGTGGGATTTTTCTTATTCACAGTGGTACACAGATTTTATAAGCCAACTATGTTCTGCATTAAAGTGTGCTTAAAACTCAGTTGCTTAGAAACTTAATGTTTCAGCAATACTTTCTCAGAGTTTACTAAGATCCTCTGATTGTGTCTGTGATAAACAAAATGTGATTTATATTTTGGAAGAGTTACAGTAGTAAAGACTGACTAGAGAGGAACATGCAATGCTACATATATTAAGGCCAAAAAAAAATAGCAAGATGGTTAGTTGTTGGTTTCAAGTGATTATTTTTTTCTGTGTGGCATCTCTGTCTCAAATCTGTAATCCTACTGCAATTTTGTCATGATGGTTTTATGCATGTTCACAATAATTAATGTAGTTTACATTAGAGTGAATAGAAATGAAGATTTATTGACAAATGGGATACAGAGAGGCCAAATTCCATTAGCAAATTTTGAAATGAGACACTGCAGATATTTACCTGTCACAAAATTTGACATGGAGCCTGTAGTGACAGGATATCCTGTGATACATAAGCTGAAATTTGTCAAAGAGCAAAAAATATTAACCTCAGCTTTCTTTTAAATGTTTCCACTATTTATATTATTTTTACTTTAAGAGAAATCTCATCAACACCACTTTTTCTCAGCCAGAGACATTTCCCTGTGAGTGGCTCCTGAAAGTCTCTGTGCAGAACCAGAGTTCTGTAGAGCTCTTTCCTCTGTATCATTTCCCTTTTCTGTTTTCCAAAAAGCTTTTGGGAGTTTATTTTGGCTTTTACACCGAAATGTTCTTTGTTCCCCTTTTCATATCAAATAATTTTTATGCTTGTAACACATAATTTAAAACCACCTCTTTGGTATTGCTGAAACATGAAAAAAATATTACAAAATGATTCTTTGTTCGCTGTTCTCATCTGAGGTTTCTTGCTCTTTGTCCTTGTAGAGTCTTCTCTGATAAGTAAAAGTGATAGTGGTTTTATTTACTGCCTTAATTTCCTGCAGTAAACAAACACTACACATTCATTAATCATTCAGTGACAAAGGACACTGAGTATTGGAGCCAAACTTGTACATGTTTCTAAGCAACCACAGCATTTTGCTTCGTTTTTCTCTATGGGTTTCAGTTGCAGAGCTCTGATCATATTGTACTCTCCCATTGTTTTCCCACGAGAGTGATGAGAGCAAAAAGAAAACATCATTATAGCAAAATTTCAAAGTAATAAAATTCTCAAAGTGAATTCTGTTTCCTAAATGAGCACTGTGAAGGTCATAAGAAGTCTTAGTTGAATCATTCCCTCAGTACACTGAGCTCTAAAATTGGAGAAAGATATGAAAAGCTGCAGTTTTATGAAAAGGTATATGCACTTCTTGCTCTGCATCTTTCTTCAAAACAATGAGGATTAAAGGACTTGAAATACAGATTGGTAACAAATTTATGAGCAAATCTGTTAAATTCTTGCTCTGCATCTTTCTTCGGAACAATGAGGATTAAAGGACTTGAAAGACAGATCAGTAACAAATTTATGAGCAAATCTGTTAAAACATCTCCTTGAATAAGCTGTGGACCTAACCTGGCCAATGACAGCTAAGATAACTAGTTTGTCAGTTGAACTAACTATAACACTCTTCTCTCCTGTGTCTGGTTTACTTTCTTCAGAACTAGCTCAGTACTCTCTCCCCATCACACTCAATGTGGATCTGTGGATCTGCTTTTTGTGCAGAATTAGAGCAGAAGTTTGTGTTGGGTAAATCTCTCCTTAAGACTCCTAACATGACATTTCTTTGGTTCAAAAATTTACTGTGCAATTAATTTTATCTATACTATGCAACTCTGTTCTCTCAGATATTAAAAAGCATATTGGCAAAGAATATGACATTATTCCTGGAATTAAAAACCAGCAATTGATGTAACAAGCTTTTCCATACCTTGAGAGTTATCTGACTTCCCCATTCAGTGAATTCAGGGATTATTACACCTGGGAGATCTAGCACATTAGACAAGAGAATAGTGATAGAGATTTTCTAACTGTAGTGATGATTTTCAGCTGGTTTTTGCTATTTGTTCACCCACAAAAGACCATTATAATTATTATCACTTATCTGTTGCCTAGAACCACTTGTAGGAGTAAACTTCACGATTTAGGATGAGATTTAAACAGGAGGAAAAACAACTGGATAAACAAGAAGTTGTTAAACTTACTGACAAGTTAGACTATTATAGGGATGATCAGTGTCTGGGATGACCTTAGCTACAAGAACTTTATTTTGTTCATCAACTAGAGTTAAAAGAAAAGCCAGTGATGATTCTTTGTTCTTTTTCTTAGTTTTTTTTTTGTTGTTTCTTTTTTGTTTCGTTTTTTTTTTTTGTTGTTTCTTTTTTGTTTTGGAGTGGGTGGGTGAGTGGGTTTGGGGTTGGTGGGGTTTTTTTGTTTTGGTTTTTTTAAGAAGACCATGAACATTTTAGGCAAAAATACCAAGCAGTTATCTCTGACATTTGTCTTGACAGGTTGCCAAGACATGTTTTGGGAATCGCAATAACTCAACCTCTCGTTTGAAGGCAGCAGAAACAGAAACAAGCTTTCAGGTATTCTCCCTCTGAGTGATTGTTGGGGTTTTATTAAAAGTGAAGCATGCAATTACTCGAGGTATATTTACACATTCTGCACTAAATTCTGTCTCAGAAAACTTTCTGAGCTCGGAATTTGTGCCGTAGTGGAATTCATCCCTTCAAAATGCCTTCTGGCAAGGAACAAAACTATTGCATATTTGAACTGGACTATCCTAGTAGTCAAATTACTTAATTTGGTAGCTATTTCCATAGCCCTGGAAGCAGGAGAAGGGACAGATTTCCAAGATAATTCTGTATCTGCCATTCTGTGAAGCTGTGTGCAGCCACATTACCAATGGAAACATTTTGAGCAAGTTGTAGAAATGAGCTGTTCCTTTGATGGACCAAGAGAAGAAGATCTAAATCACTATGATTATAAAGCAGTATCAGATTTGCATAGCTTTGCATTGTAAAGGTTGTTCAATGTGCTTCATTGAGATCAGAATTCTTTTTTAGGCACAGTTGGCAAATATCATATTCTGCTGTAGTAGTTTAAGACTCGTAGATCAGTTTATAGAATCATAGAATCAGCCTGGTTGGAAGAGACCTCCAAGATCATCAAGTCCAACCCTACCGTGGTCACTAGCCCATGGCACTAAGTGCCACATCAGTCTCAGCTTGAAAACTTCCAGGGATGGTGACTCCACCACCTCCCTGGGCAGCACATTCCAATGCCTGAGCACTCT